CAGACTAGTGACAATAGAACCATTCGTTCTTTGAACGCACGATATAAAGCACTCTAGTGAGCCCTTTACACGAATAAAACCAACTTTACGAACTCGCAAAAAACAAAAAACAAAAAAATTATAGCAAGCAAAGTTACCCAACAAATTTCGAGCGATTATTTTTAGCGTCGTCATAGCTAATAGGCTGAAAATTTGGGGGAATTCTGGTTGGTTTGGAGTAATGTGTTATCCCTGAGGTGTGAGAGGGGGGGGGGCGAGGGGGGATGATTGTGGGGGGGGGGGGATGGGGGATGATGTGGGGGGGGGGATGATGATGATGATGATCTCGGTAGTGATGATATATATTTGTTGTATTTGTTTCTTAATGCTGTGGAGTTTTTAATGGTGTTGATGTGGGGGGGGGGCGGGGCTCTGTTTGTCGTTGTTGGCTGCTGTATTGCTGTCGTTGTTCATTGTAGTAACGTTGTTGTCTGTCCCTACAGTAGGCTACATTAGGAGTCGTGAAAATACATTACCGGAGTGGCAGGTAAACTCATCAATAAAGAATACAAGATGTAATACAGTTTATTTATATTTTTTTTGCCGACCTAAAGCAAAGCTAATACAACAGCTCATTTAGAAACCAATAATGTAGTAAAGTATTGTAGTTTCGCTGTATAATAAAACAGGTGTTAAGAGAGTCGATCGAAGTACTTGTTGGAGTTGGTTTGGTGGTACTTCCGGGTGTTGGTCTGGGGGTACTTCCCGGTGTTGGTCTGGGGGTACTTCCGGGAGTTGGTCTGGTGGTACTTCCAGGGTGTTGGTCTGGTGGTACTTCCGGGTGTTGGTCTGGTGATACTTCCGGGTGTTGGTCTGGTGGTACTTCCGGGTGTTGGTCTGGTGATACTTCCGGGTGTTGGTCTGGTGATACTTCCGGGTGTTGGTCTGGGGGTACTTCCGGGAGTTGGTCTGGTGGTACTTCCAGGGTGTTGGTCTGGTGGTACTTCCGGGTGTTGGTCTGGTGGTACTTCCGGGTGTTGGTCTGGTGGTACTTCCGGGTTTTGGTCTGGTGTACTTCCGGGTTTTGGTCTGGTGGTACTTCCGGGTGTTGGTCTAGTGGTACTTCCGGGTGTTAGTCTGGTGGTACTTCCGGGTTTTGGTCTGGTGGTACTTCCGGGTTTTGGTCTGGTGGTACTTCCTGGTGTTGGTCTGTTGGTACTTCCGGGTGTTGGTCTGTTGGTACTTCCGGGTGTTGGTCTGTTGGTACTTCCGGGTGTTGGTCTGGGGGTACTTCCGGGTTTTGGTCTGGTAGTACTTCCTGGTGTTGGTCTGGGGTACTTCCAGGTGTTGGTCTAGTGGTACTTCCGGGTGTTGGTCTGGTGGTACTTCCGGGTTTTGGTTTGGTGGTACTTCCGGGTGTTGGTCTGGTGGTACTTCCGGGTGTTGGTCTGGTGGTACTTCCGGGTGTTGGTCTGGTGGTACTTCCGGGTGTTGGTCTGGTGGTACTTCCGGGTGTTGGTCTGGTGGTACTTCCTGGAAGTACCAGCACTTTACCGGTCAAGACACTGGCGTGAGAGCCAGACAAACACTCCCTACTCAAGGCCTTTCAACCACTTGAGTATTATAAAAGACCTTTATCGACTTCTGGTGTGTTTTATGAAGACTTTCTATTGGTTTACTGATCCCTCATTGGTTTACTGACCAACCACCAAGGTTTAATTGTCTCTATATATATATATATATATATATATATATATATATATATATATATATATATATATATATATATATATATATATATACATATATATATCCAAAAGTAAACTTTCTCAGTATACATACTATTGCGAAACAGGGTATATATACACGCTAGCTACTCGGTGTATATATGTATGTATATATATATATTCCCCCTTGTGCCTGGTTCAGCTGTTCGGGGTCTGTTTACATGTCATCAGAGGGTGTCGGCAGCGCCACCTATAGTTGCCAGCGTTTGTTTTTGTTCTGTAATTTACGTATGAACGGAGGAGCGAGGAAAGTGATTATTACGTCACGTGACGTTTGGCGTGGTGACGAGTTGCCATCATGTTTGTTGTGTATAGTTGATCCCTGTGTATTGTCGATGTGTTGACCTAATCAGTGCCTGGTCTGTGTTGATCCGCTGTGTATTGCCGATGTGTTGACCTAATCAGTGCCTGGTCTGAGTTGATCCGCTGTGTATTGTCGATGTGTTGACCTAATCAGTGCCTGGTCTGTGTTGATCCGCTGTGTATTGCCGATGTGTTGACCTAATCAGTGCCTGGTCTGTGTTGATCCCTGTGTATTGCCGATGTGTTGACCTAATCAGTGCCTGGTCTGTGTTGATCCCTGTGTATTGCCGATGTGTTGACCTAATCAGTGCCTGGTCTGTGTTGATCCGCTGTGTATTGTCGATGTGTTGACCTAATCAGTGCCTGATCTTTTTTAAATTTTGCCCCGAGGGGCGAGTTTATTGGGCAGCGCCACTCATCTTGTGAGTGAACATACCGCCATAGCAGAATGTACAACACTCCCCAATAGGAAGAAAACCCGCTGGGTTGTTCATCTGATCTGTCAGCCTATTGGGGGTGGTCTGTAGCTCTTTATGCCTTGTTGTACCTGTTGCGTTATAACTGAAGTGTTTTGGTACTCGAATTCTTTGTCGAATCTGGCTTTTAAGGTTTTGGATGGAGGTGGTTTCCACAACTTCTTATTTTTAGTTCATTCCACTTGTTGACCACTCGTATAAATTGAAATTGAATTGAAATTGAAATAAGTTTATTGAGGTAAAATACCACTCGTATAGGGGGAGAGTATTTCCTTTGACTTGGATTCATATTTTCGTAAAGTGCTTCCACTTATAGCATTGTCGTCCTACCTTCTCTCAGTTTAAAGAGGATGTGCTTGTACACCTTGTCCCTTCCTCTGAGTATCTTGTATGCTGCGATCATATCCCCACTGTTTCTTCTATCCTCCAGGGATGTGAGGTCCACTTTCTTTAATGTATCCTCGTAGATTAAACCCTTTAGCTCTGGCACCAGTCTTGTTGTAAACCTTTTTTTTTCAATTATGGTTTTAGTCTTCATAAGGTGTGGATTCCAGACCATATGCTGCTTATCCATTATGCAAGGATACATATGGATTTGTATACATATCCAAGAGCAACATATCCAAGAGACATAGATGTTAGGGAATGCCCCATGTGAAGTCATGTCTATTGTAACTGACGATTCTCTGGTGGGACATGATCGCGACATACAAGATTAATCGAGAGTATAAACAAGGTTGGTAATTAGAGGTTGTGTGAAGGAGGTGGGACTAGGACGAGGGGGTCATGCATGAGTGTTTTGAATGTCCATTGAGACAGATCAATTCAATTTGAGACCGACCAATTGACAGATCAGTTGAAGTTATCATCTGGGTCATTTAATGGTTAAAAGAACGGGCCCAAGAGCTGGAATACGCTCTTTCTCTCTCTCTCTCTCTCTCTCTCTCTCTCTCTCTCTCTCTCTCTCTCTCTCTCTCTCTCTCTCTCTCTCTCTCTCTCTCTCTCTCACACACACACACACACACACTTAAAGCGTCTATTCTTTGACTATAATTCCCTTGATCAATGGACCGAGATTGATCAATGGACCGAGAAGTCATTGATCAGTTACGCGCCCAGTGTAGTCGTTATGAAGAGAGTGCTACACAAAGAGGATGATAAACGTGAATGATTATATATTCCCGGATTACTTAACATTTTGCACTGTTGCAAAATATACTGCAACAATACATTTAGTAGTATTGTATTATAATGTATTCCATGGCACTGTTGTGTTTGTGTATCAGCATTTCTGTAAGCTGTTTCATTGTATTGTATTATTGACTTTTAAAAATTAATTAAGTTTGTTGAGTTTATTAATTAATATTAATTTAGTTATTCCTGCTACCCATTCGTAATTTTTTTTCGTAATTGGTGAAACTACGAAGATAATTTTTAAGCTAATTATTATTATTTTTTGCCAAAAATGCAACTGTAAAAAATTATAGCTGATTAATAGTGTCACTCTCGAGGCGAAGAAATATTTCTGTATGTCAGAAAGCCGACAAGACACCACGGGAAATTTTGTAAAAAAAGTTTTACCAATTTGTGTTCGTAAAAAAAAAGTAAAAAAGAAAAGGCCCCCATGAGAAAAGGGGATTTTTTTTATGGGGGGTTTCAGACCCCTAAAAAATGTGTTGATGATTGAGGGGAAGATACAGTGGTGACTGTATCTTCATGATGTGGGGATTCATGCATCGATTAATTAAGCTAGCATGTAAATGATATTTGATCTTAATCTTGATCTTAATCTTGATCTTAATCTTGATCTTAATCTTGATCTTAATCTTGATCTTAATCTTGATCTTAATCTTGATCTTATTCTTAATCTCCTATGGTCTTAATGGACTATAGGAGCCTCGACCCCCCAGACCACATAAGTAGCAACTCTACCAGCTATCTAGTTACTTGGATAGCAGATAGGTGTACGTGGAAACCTTCCTACTAAAGGCTGATGGCTCATGGCTCAGTTGGTACTGCAGCGGGCTGCAGCTATATGTGTTCTGCTGTTCAAAACTCCTATATGGTCCAAGTGAATGAAACGGTATTATCCACGAAATGGTAGTTAGCAATTTAAATGCAATCAAGTATACATTAACCATCCCATCGTGGTTAGAGAACCGCCGCAGTCTTCACCATCTCCGCAACCTCAATCAAGCAACCATCAATCATTGCAAATAATGGAATGGAAATCTTCGGAATAACCAGCTCGTAAAATCGTTCAATACTCAATTCGCGAAGAGAGAGAGAGAGAGAGAGAGAGAGAGAGAGAGAGAGAGAGAGAGAGAGAGAGAGAGAGAGAGAGAGAGAGAGAGAGAGAGAGAGAGAGAGAGAGAGAGAGAGAGAGAGAGAGAGAGAGAGATTATTTACATTTGCTTGATTTAGAGTTGCTCTCGTTCCATGAACCAATGACAAGAGTGGGTGGAACCAGTCCGTGAGCTGTTACAAGAGTGGGTGGAACCAGTCCGCGAGCTGTTACAAGAGTGGGTGGAACCAGTCCGCGAGCTGTTACAAGAGTGGGTGGAACCAGTCCGTGAGCTGTTACAAGAGTGGGTGGAACCAGTCCATGAGCTGTTACAAGAGTGGGTGGAACCAGTCCATGAGCTGTTACAAGAGTGGGTGGAACCAGTCCGTGAGCTGGAGTGGGTGGAACCAGTCCGCGAGCTGTTACAAGAGTGGATGGAACCAGTCCGCGAGCTGTTACAAGAGTGGGTGGAACCAGTCCGTGAGCTGTTACAAGAGTGGGTGGAACCAGTCCGCGAGCTGTTACAAGAGTGGATGGAACCAGTCCGTGAGCTGTTACAAGAGTGGGTGGAACCAGTCCGCGAGCTGTTACAAGAGTGGGTGGAACCAGTCCGCGAGCTGTTACAAGAGTGGGTGGAACCAGTCCGCGAGCTGTTACAAGAGTGGGTGGAACCAGTCCGCGAGCTGTTACAAGAGTGGGTGGAACCAGTCCGCGAGCTGTTACAAGAGTGGCAAAAGGGGGGCTTGGGTCTATATATATATATATATACCACTAGCCGTGTCAAATGGATTCTCTATACACTCAGAGGGTCAAGACGAATTTTTGATAAATATAGTTTAAAAAAAAAAATAGCACAATGCAAGGTCGAAACGATTGGGAAATGTTTATTCATGACAAAGATGGCAGGTGTTCTGAGCCTTCAACATCTCTCATCACACACACACATGTTTGACGAGGTCTCTCGGGGCCAAAGAGCCGAAGCTCAACCCCCCACAAGCGCAACTAGGTGAGTACATGTGTGTTTCCTTATGTGGAAACTGAGTAGATTTCAATGACATGTATTCCAAATTTCATGATTAATAATAGAAAAAAATATTGCAGTTTACCATACTGAATCATTTATGTAAATGGTAATATATATATATATATATATATATATATATATATATATATATATATATATATATAATATATATATATATATATATATATATATATGGGAAGACAGTGCTCTTGGGAGGTGGCGATCTTTGTGGTATTAAATACTCCGAAATTACCATCTCTTTTAAGGGTCTGAGCAGGTGGTGAAGAGGGTTAAGGAGCGTACCTGTTATGCCAGTTGCTGGAAGGCTTCTGTGCTGGCTAGGGTTCGAGTCTCCTGGTGGGAAAGTGTTCTAAAGTTGTATACTTGACTCTCGTGTTTAGGAGAGTTTGTGCCTTAAGCATAGACACTGTGTCTTCCCATATTAACAGGGACTTGATGAAATTAACGTCTAAATGACCCCTCACTTGCTCTAGTGCTTTGGTGAGGTGGCGATCTTTGTGGTATTTAAATACTCCGAAATTACCATCTCTTTTAAGGTCTGACCAGTGAGTGGTGAAGAGGGTTAAGGCGTACCTGTTATGCCAGTATGCTGGAAGGCTTCTGTGCTGGCTAGGGTTCGAGTCTCCTGGTGGGAAAGTTGTTCTAAAGTTGTATATATATATATATATTGATATATATATATATATACCCCCTCGTTAACGATGCGTTTGAATGGTTTCCTGTCCAGGCCTGTCTTGTCAAGGCCGCCTGTCAAATTTGACCCCTGGTTAATGACCTCAGAACCCATACCTTGTCATTGCTGTTATGTGGACTTCTTGGACGCCTTACCTTTTGGACCAGTCGCCAGCCGGACATCAAGGACCCTAAATTCCTAACTTTAAATCCCTCGGACCACTAATAAGGACTTTATCTCCGTCATTTTTGTGACAGCATTTGCTTGCCTTTGCATATTTTCACGCAATTTTTGAAAATATTCAAGTGGCTTCATAGCTAAATCTAAATTTCATAGCTAAAGTGGTTTGATTGACAGCGTCTTTGGAGTTCGGAAGGTGAAATTGAAATTGAAATTGAAATAAGTTTATTGAGGTAAAATACACACAAAGGGATGAGGTAGCTCAAGCTATTCTCACCCCGTTCCGTACAACGTGTTAATATATACATAGACACACATCACAAATAAACATATTATTCGGAAGGTTTCATGGCCTCATTGGGTTATAAACTCTCTGAACACACAACACAAAATGGCCGAGGAGGATAATGCAACACACTTTTTTTTTTCTACCACAGACGTGGCCACACATTTACAATGCTAACCAGCATATATACACTACCAGGTTCTTGAATAAATTCAAATTTCATAAGTAGTTCGAATCCTATTTTCTTGATATTTTGACTCGTTTTCTTCTCTCTCTCTCTCTCTCTCTCTCTCTCTCTCTCTCTCTCTCTCTCTCTCTCTCTCTCTCTCTCTCTCTCTCTCTCTCTCTCTCTCTCTCTCTCTCTCTCTCCGCCTCCAGTTGGATTGGTGTTGTTAATTAATGGTAGTTAACGAGGGCTGTAGAGGCTCTGAATTCAAGAAGCCAAGTACACATATTACTATCGTTATTATTATCAGTAGTTACATTATCTTTTGTAGTACTAATGTAATGAATGTAATGGCTTCCTTTTTTCCACTCATTATGGGTTTATTTCATTCCAATCTGAAACCAAACAAGAAATGATTGTTATTAAAGTCAAACTATTTCATGCCATTAAATATAAAACAGCTGAAGACAGTGTCATACAATACACAGATAAAATCAAACATTCTGAATATAGGAATTTCTTAGAATGTTATTTTTGTTTTATTATTAATAAAACGTAAACAAATGCAAATAATGTCCAGATTTGTCTGCGGACCGCTGCTCGAAGGCACTCCTAGCAAGCAGACTTTTCACGTCAATAACGCGAGTTATACACGAGTGTATAATTGTCTCCCCTTCTCCCTGTCTTCCTCTCCCTCACCCCCCCCCCCCCCCCCCCGTCCTCCTCCTCCTCCTCCTCCTCCTCGCTGTATCTTAATTCCCCTGACCTCCTACCCCCCCTACCTACCCCGGGCAAGTCAAACAGGTGATTACAGTCAACCAACAGCGAGAAAGCCACCTCTACGTCCCACCTGTTGGGCGAACCGGGTCGTGGTACTAGGCTGGCGTTGCCCATTAGCTAATCTAAACACCAACCCCAGTTCATGGCTCTCCTGGATGGCAGGCAGGCAGGCAGGCAGGCAGGCAGGCAGGCAGGCAGGCAGGCAGGCAGGCAGGCAGGCAGTCAGGCAGGGAGGCAGGCAGGCAGGCAGGCAGGCAGGCAGGCAGGCAAGCAGGCAGGCAGGCAGGCAGGCAGGCAGGTAGGCAGGCAGGCAGGCAGGCAGGCAGGCAAGCAGGCAGGCAGGCAGGCAGGTAGGCAGGCAGGCAGGCAGGCAGGCGGGGAGGCAGGCAGGCAGGGAGGCAGGCAGGCAGGGAGGGAGGGAGGCAGGCAGGCAAGCAGGCAGGCAGGCAGGCAGGCAGGCAGGCAGGCAAGCAGACAAGCAGGCAGGCAAGAAGGCAGACATTGCCACCCCTAATAAAACTCTGAATAATCCAAACGCCAACACACCCCAATTCCCTCTCCCTCTCCCTTCCCTTCCCTTTCCCCCCTCCACCACACGCTGCCCCCTCCCCCTAGATGCTTAGTTCATTTCCAGAATTTGGTCACGGTTGAGGGCGAGCGCCAGTGGTCTCCAGAGGGGGTCAAAATAGTGGTATTAAACCGTGATGGATGGCAGGAAATGGCAGCCAAAGGTGCATGCAATGACCGTGTTTGCTGAGCAATCATTGGGGGGGGGGCGGGGGGAGGAAAGGGGGGTCGACTCCCCCTGTTTGTTCTCTGGAAGCCGTCGACCTGTCGATATATAGTTTTTTTTTCTCTTTTAGCGGTGCCATTATGCCATTTTGTTACTTATGTCGCCTCTAATTGGGGGTGAAAATGTTTCAGGGATAGAGGTGAAAGGACCTCTGGACACGAAGGTGTAATTTCTACATTTGTATCTGCTTGCTTTACATAATAAAATACATGTTGGGGGAGGGGGGGGAGGGGGGGGAGAGAGAGGGGGACGTGCATACTTACACACTTGAGTGTACGTATGTCCGTTCTTGTTGTTGTTGGTAGTAATTGTGTGTATATTTAAATATACACAATTAAGGATGTGTATACACACACTCTCACACACACACACACACACACACACACACACACACACACACACACACACACACACACACACACACACACACACACACACACACACACACACACACACACACACACACACACACACAATGTGTGGGTCTGGAAATTGAGTGCCCAAATGAGCCACAGAGATATTAGAAAGAACTTTTTTAGTGTCAGACTGATTGACAAATGGAATGCATTAGGCAGTGATGTGGTGGAGGCTGACTCCATACACAGTTTCAAGTGTAGATATGATAGAGCCCAGTAGGCCCAGGAATCTGTACATCAGTTGATTGACAGTTGAGAGGCAAGCTGAAAGAGTAGAGATCATCGCTGCAAACATAACTAGGTGAATACACACACACACACACACACACACACACACACACACACACACACACACACACACACACACACACACACACAAATAGTAAGTTCCCGCACGAGGCAGAAACAAATGGGCAAAGTTTCTTTCACCCTAAGTGCCCCTGTTACCTAGCAGTAAATAGGTACCTGGGAGCTAGTCAGCTGTCACGGGCTGCTTCCTGGTGTGTGTGTGTGTGTGTGTGTGTGTGTGTGTGTGTGTGGTGTGGGGAAAAAAAAAAAAAAAAGTAGTTAGTAAGTTAGTAGTTAGTAAACAGTTGATTGACAGTTGAGAGGCGGGCCGAAAGAGCAAAGCTCAACCCCCGCAAAAACACAACTAGTAAACACACACACACACACACACACACACACACACACACACACACACACACACACACACATACACACACACACACACACACACACACACACACACACACACACACACACACACACACACATACAAATGGAAGGGAAGACAGCATATGGAATGATGGGATTCGTTGCTGGGAATTGTATCGATGCAACGGAACAGTTCCCAGCACTCAAGGAGACGGCGGAGGAGGTCAAGTACACCTCGGGGTTCAAGAGGTGATGCAGGGAAGCTAAAGGACAATAAATGACCTGGAAAAAGTACAGAGAACAATAAAGACGCACTAAAAAGAACCAGGAACGAATACCTGCGAATTAGGAGAGAAGCCAAGAGGCAGTTTTTAAAATGACATTGCAGCAAAAGCTAAGGAACAACTCAAAGCTGTTCTATAGCCATATAAGGAGAAAAACAACAGTGTGAGATGTGACCATGTATTCAGATTAAGGAATCAAGGGGAAACTCTCAAAGAGGAATAAGGAGGTATGTAAGGAACTCAACTACGGGCTCACCATAGGCCGTGCTACTTGCCCCGCTCCTGTGCCAGGTAAGTTACGGGCTCACCATAGCCCGTGCTGCTTGCCCCGCTCCTGTGCCAGGTAAGTCACGGGCTCACCATAGCCCGTGCTGCTTGCCCCGCTCCTGTGCCAGGTAAGTTACGGGCTCACCATAGCCCGTGCTACTTGCCCCGCTCCTGTGCCAGGTA